AACGCCTCCTCGTAAAGGGCAAACTCCCCCGGTCGGGCGTCGGATGGCCTCTCCTTCGATGTCAGCAGCTTTAACTCTATTTTCGCAAGAAACTGATATTTCTTATGCATACCCTCCAACTCCTCCGTGGTAACGGTCGACTTGTCAGCTTTCGTGTGCCAGTGATCTGGCTCAACCAGACTAATTGGCTTCGCAGCCGCTATCAGCGTCGACGAGCGGGGTCGCCCTGCCGTCTCCCTCTCACTCCGTGCTCGCTTCTCCGTCTTGTATTGCTCCGCCAGGTCCACCACGTCGTCGTCCCCCAAGTCATCTAGTCTCACGTTGGACACTTCCTCTCAAGCCATCTCTCTGGTATTCCTGCGTATCGCTTCAGATGCTGGTACAAGGTAGTTCACAAAATGTTGCAAAGGTGTATCACTCGACACAAAGGAGTTTACTCTTGGAATGTTTTGATTTTTTGCAAAAAGGTAGGTAAAGCGAATAATACCAAAAGCCCAAGACTTGTCTGTATTCCAAGGGTCACGATTAAATTTTGTCAGCTTGAAAATTTTCAAAAAAATCCGCCAAAACCGCCTTTTCAACACCCTATATTAACCTACCCTTTCGTTTCTTGCCTAACGCCTAACCTCCCCCCATCACGGGATTCCGCCACGTGTACGACCACGATCCACTGCCCTCTTCTCCTACCCTGTCTTTTCCACTTCAAATCACCACGTGCCTTGCCACTCCTCGAGCCCCGCACACTGCTACTTGCCCCTCCTCTCGGCAACCCTTCGCGGTCGGCCCTCCTCATGGTCGGTCCCTCCACTCGGCCACCCTTTGCGGTCGGTCCTCCTCACGGTCGGTCCCTCCTCATGGTCGGTCCCTCCATTCGGCCACCCTTTGCGATCGATCCTCCTCACGGTCGGCCCTCCTCATGGTCGGTCCCTCCACTCGGCCACCCTTTGCGGTCGGTCCTTCTCATGGTCGGTCCCTCCTCACGGCCACCCTTCACGGTCGGCCCTCCTCATGGTCTGTCCCTCCACTCGATCACCTTTCGTGGTCGGCCCTCTTCATGGTTGGTCGCTCCACTCGGTCACCCTTCGTGGTCGGCCCTCCTCATGGTCGGTCCCTCCTCTCAGCCACCCTTCGAGATCGGTCCTCTTCATGGTCGGTCCCTCCACTCGATCACCCTTCGTGGTCGGCCCTCCTCTCGGCCTCACTTTGCGATCGGCCCTCCTCATGGTCGGTCCTTCCACTCGGTCACCTTTCGCGGTCGGCTTCTACTTGGCCATCCATCGCCGTCGGCCCCACCCTTCGGTCGGTCTTCGCTCCGCCGGTCTCTCACAACTATTGTTTCCTTCTTTATTCTCTTCGTTGGACTAAAGCTGCACTTGGGAATGGGGGACTACTGACACAGGTAAGCCCACAGAGGATATAGCCCCCCACTTAGGGCCCAATACATAATTCAAATACTAAAGCCCAACGTACTAGAGCTCAACATGGCATTAAGGGCCAATGACATCTAAACACGTGGCAAGAGAAGGACAAGCCACATAAGTAGACAAAGATCCTACAAAGTTATTGCACTGCACATCAGCCATTAATGAAGTCCCTTACAGCATTTATTGCGATAACCCCTCCCCGTCGAGACAGAATGGCCTCACCATGAACAAGGCAGGCTAGAGCATAGACTTTCGGCCAAGATGACAGGTCGGAAGGGACAACGAAATGATTACCAGATGATATAAGTAGACGTCGAACACAAGAAGAAGGTTAAGCTTTCTATCACTAATCTATCTCTACACTCCATCTCTCTTTCTAACTTGCTCGTCGGAGGGTTCGCTGGGGGACTCCCAGTTCCCCGTTGAACTCTTGTGCAGGTCTCTCCATGGGCTTGGTACCTCAGGCTCCAGTTTGAGAAGCGTGGATCAGTCCGACCCGTTTCATCTGGAACACGCTGTATCATCAAATGTATTATTCTATATATCTATAGGTTATAGGTTGCATCAATAATAGAATGCATATAATTTAGAAATTAATGAAAAATATTTAATTTATGCATTTTACAAAAATTAATAAATAGAGCTTTTAGCGACTAAACATTTAGTAGCCAAAAAATAAGAAAGGAATTTGTTGGCGACAAAATAGTTAGTAGCCAAAAAAAATGAAAGTTTTTTGCAACAAAAAAATTAGTAGCCTAAAAGGAGCACCGTAATTTTAGCGATTAAAAAATTGGTAGCCAAAAAGGATTGTGACTTTTTTAGCGACTAAATATTTTTGTCGCTAAAACAAAAAAGCACATTTATTGGAAACTTTGGGCGACTAAATTTTTAGTCGCCAATTACCAACTTTTGGCGATTAAAAAAAATTAGTCGCCAATATCTTTCCTTTTGGCGACTAATTTTTTAGTCGCCAATTTAAGACTTTCGGTGACTATATATTTTTTAGTCGCCAATACCTTCCCCGACAATCTTCCCATGACCAAGCCGACGACCAAACTATTTAGTCGGGAAATCTTTTTGGCGACTAAAATTTGACTTTTGGCAACTAAAAATTTTATCGCCAAAAGTGCAATTTCTTATAGTGTTTATATGAATAGATCTTTAGAAGTATGGTTTGTGGATTATTTTGTACGTATTTATAGCAACTTCCGAGTGAGTGTGTAATGCTAAAGTACGGGGGATTCTATTTACACTCAAAAAATTATTAAGTACTCCTAATTTCTAAGTATATCTTGTTTAATTATTTAAAATTTTATTTTACTCTCATTACACCATATTATTTTTTCCAAATTACCCCCAGGGTAAACCCAAATAATAAATAATAAAAAAATTAAATTATTTCAAAAACTTTTCAATATAGAAAATAATTCTCAAATACAGAAAAAAAACCAAACTTATAAGCACATAAGCATTATAAATACAGAAAAAAATCAAACTTTTATATAAGCATTATAAAACTTTTCAATACACACACACGCACAAAAAAAAAAATAATTCAATCCGATAATTATAATTTGTTCAATTTATTTTGCTTTTCATCAAAAAAATATATGATTTATTTTTAAAAACACAAACTATCATCTATTTTTTTAGTAAAAAACATAATAAATTAAATAAATTACAATTATCTAATCGATTTAGTATTTTTTATAAATAAAATATACAAAATTTTTAATTAGACCCTTTAATTTTTGTCCCCAAAAAAAAAAAAACGATATAGAAAATAATTGATGGTGCCATACAAAAATTGTGAAATCCCTCTATATGAATACTTACCTCATTTTTTATGAGTTGCTTCAAAAAACTATTTTGATTTTTACCTTCTTCCATTATTTGATTTTGTTCAAGCTTTCTTCTAAGGTTTAGGGTTTCAAAATAATAAAAAACAATGATATTGATGATGATGGTGAGTTTTGGTAGGGTGGATTAGAGTTTTGGAGGAAGGAAGAATAAAAAGAAGAAATAACTTTGATCTCTTAGGAAAGAACATATAGAGATTTAAATAGAAATAACTGATTATGGTGTACCATAAGAAGAAAAAAAGAATTATTTTAAGATTTAATATGTGTTGTTTTTATTAATAAATTTATATTAGGATATACTAGACCCTTTAATTTTTGTCCCCAAAAAAAAAAAAACGATATAGAAAATAATTGATGGTGCCATACAAAAATTGTGAAATCCCTTTATATGAATACTTACCTCATTTTTTATGAGTTGCTTCAAAAAACTATTTTGATTTTTTACCTTCTTCCATTATTTGATTTTGTTCAAACTTTCTTCTAAGGTTTAGGGTTTCAAAATAATAAAAAACAATGATATTGATGATGATGGTGAGTTTTGGTAGGGTGGATTAGAGTTTTGGAGGAAGGAAGAATAAAAAGAAGAAATAACTTTGATCTCTTAGGAAAGAACATATAGAGATTTAAATAGAAATAACTGATTATGGTGTACCATAAGAAGAAAAAAAAATTATTTTAAGATTTAATATGTGTTGTTTTTATTAATAAATTCATATTAGGATATAATAAAAATTAAAATTTATAAATTTAAATTGGACATATTAGATATATTTTGAGTTTAAATAGAATTCCCTAAAGTTCGGGCCAAATGGTGAAATTGTTGGACTTGCAAACCTGTTTTTCTTTTTCTTTTTCCTTTATTTTTTAAGGAAAATAAGTTGAATCGTCCCACTAGGGGGCATTTTTGTCAATTAAAAGAAATTATTGAGTACAGATTAGATTATATAAATATCTTATAACTTTGTATTTATATATATGTAGTTATATTTTTTATTAAATGAGGAGGATTCGAATTAAAGGACGTTATTTGGGTTTGTGAGATTCATTATAAATCTTGTTTCAATTATTTGAACACTTTATTTTGTTGAACATTACGTGTATTTCGTCTAAAAAAAATTAAATCGATCTGATAAATATTACTTGTTCAACTTATTACGTTTGTCCTGGACCTATACACTAATCACATATTTAGAGACCAACAGAGGATTGGTTCAGTGGATAAGACTTTTGAATCCCTCGCTCAAGACATAGGTTCGAGTCTCCATAACCCCTTGTTGGGGTTAAACATACGCTTTAGCGTCTGGAGCATGCGGGTGGCCTAAGTTTCGGCCTTGACGTAAGTGCAGTAAGATTTTCTGTAGATATGTTGAGCATGCGGGTGGCCTAAGTTTCGGCCTTGACGTAAGTGCGGTAAGATTTTCTGTAGATATGTTGCAGATGCTAAGGGACAATACTCCCTGAGTCTATGTTAGAGTAACCTACCTGTATATCCATTTTGATAGGAAAAAAAAACCATATATAGAAAAAAATCTCTCAAAATCCAAGAATTAGTGGCTGGTAATTTGCAGTTGAACAACTATTACACACCATTTTCATTTCATTTTATTTACATAATAAGGGTAACATATATAGGGTGAAAATCGTAATTTTCAATCTCATTTCATATTGTCACGCCTACAGCCTTTTCTCCGCCATAAATTTCAACAGTCAGAGAGGAGGAGAAAGAGAAATCTCGCGCTCGCTGTAGAGAGAGAAAGTAGTTAGAGAGAGAGAATTTTGAGATGATGACGACGAGTTATGGAGTCTCTGCTTCTGTGATTGCTTCGGTGTTTGTGCTATCAATCGTCCTGGTTTTCATAATCTCAGGCGACTTGAGTTCGCTCATGTGCTTCGATACTTGGAAATCCGAATTCACAGTGCCGATTGTCCTATTGCAGACCAAGATTACTGGAGCTTCCAATGAGTTCCGAGCTGTTTCCTCTGAACGATCCAATGCTACTACTGGTTTCTCCGTTAACAGTCGTTTCAGAAACCGAACTGTCATTGTAAGTATTCATTCACTATCTCTGAATTCATCAATGTTACGTACATCAAGTGTATTTAATCTGTTTCTGTGGATCTGATTGTGAGGTTGCAGAGTGAGTAATTAATGGATTAACTGAGAAGCTGATAGTTCATTGTATATCCAATGATTTTCAGCCGAATGATTGAGAAACTGCTACGTGAATATCTTCCAAATGTTTTTTTTCTTTTTCTGATCAATTGATTTCACATTGCAGAGAGAAGAAGTGCGAGGATCGGAGCAAGGACTAGCGCGGGCAAGAGCTGCGATTCGGAAGGCGGCGTCGAGTGGAAAGCTCTCATCAAATGTCCGCGACCACGGTGACGAACTCGCCGGCGACATCTACCGTAACCCCGGCGCATTTTATCAGTAAGATTTTTTCAACCGGTATTGAAATATAAAAAATAAAATAAAATAAACGATAAGCCTCCGTTTGGGAAGTGGGTTGACTTTTTAGCTTTTTAGCTTTTTTGACTATTTTAGCCTGGGCTAAAAAGCTTGGTTTGGGAAGGGCTTTTTGGCTTTTTGACCTTTTTGACTTTTTTTGTGAGAGAAGAATGTAATGATTATAGGTTGGATGTGATGTTTTGTTTGTTATGGCTAAAATAGCCTATTTTGTTTTTTGTGGCTAAAATAGCCAAAAAAAGCTTGAAAAAGCCCTTGCCAAACACAGGCTAAATTAGATGGTTAATTACACTAATAGTCCCTATAATTTGGGACTTGTGTCATTTTGGTCCTTAGTTTTTTAATTGTGACACATATGACTCTGAATTTTTAATCTTGTTCTAAATAAAGACAATTGAAAATATCATTAGATTTTTCAAGAGTAAAATCGTCAATTTGATAAAATATAAACTAATTTAACAAAAATAAATGTCAAAAAAATATTTTAAATTTTTTAAAAATTATTTTTATCTATCAATGATAAAATTATGTAAAATTAATAAAAATTACATGATTAATTTTTTAAAATTTAACTCTGTTAGAATACGTTTAGAACAGTATGAGGCCGTAGGTAATCTCATGATTACTGGCCGGTTACGTCCTTAACCCACGGGGGCGGGTTCGGGTCGTGACAGAGCTAGTCCCGTTGGTATGTCCGTATCTGCCTGGACATTTGGTGCCTCCCCGGGTGCCGGGATTCCTGGTGGGGAAGGAGCTGGGTGCGAAGCAGATGCCCTGGTTTGTTGTTGCAACCTGGCAATTAATTTTGCCTGTTGGGCCATGATCTCGGCTTGTTGTTTGGCAAACTCATCCCAGCGAATAGCGTCCTACTGCATGGCTCTCATGGTCTCCTGCATCTGGCGCATCATTTCTTCAACTCCTGTCGGTACCGCCATACTGCCCTGATCTGTCTGAACTATTGGCAGGTCTACCTCTATAGCAACAATTGAGATCTCAGTCCGACTGTCCACTGATGGAGTAATCCACTGCTCTGGCAACCTCTACTCAGATACACTGCGTCTTCTTGACCTCCGTCTGATAACTGGGGGTAGAGAGTGGAACATTGGTTGTCCATCGACCAGATCCTCAGATCGATTGAGTCGACGACCTCTTGTCCAGAGTGCTTGGGGAATATCTGCTTGGTCTGAAACAATTGTGCTAAACTACCCAACAAAAAGAGAAATAAACGAGCAGACAAACAGACAGCATAACAGCGTAAATAAACACAACACACAGTCGGGTATATTTAACACGCAATTGATACACCATTCTCAAAGACTGATCATTATTCCCAAATCACTGTCCCTGAAGCTGAATCTGATACTCGCAGATAACTGATTTCGAAAATACTGAAATGGTGCCCGCAGGCCTGATACCCAAAATATTGAATTGGTGCCTGCAGGCCTGACACTCAAAATACTGAAATGGCGCCCGCAGACCTGATGCCCAAACTTGTAAACTGATACATGCATTCGTATAGAGACACACTCTAAAAGCACATAACAAACAAGTGAGAGCCAAAACACCCCTATGTTGGGGTAAGGTTTCCCTGTCCTATTTTGTCAAGAGCTACGGTTTCACTACGCACGCAGCGGTCTCAAACAACCTATAAACGGGTAAGCAACCTGTCCTAGTTTCGAATGGTCACTATGGATTCTGAATATGCACTAGGTCGAATGGTCAAAAAGGGTGCCCCGGTAAAACCGGGGTTTGTGTTCCCGTCGTGGCAGAGCCCGCAACCGGTCAGCCTTATGGCACGCTTCTCGAAGTGAGCCTCCGACAAACCGTTCCGGAATAGCATACGGCAAACACGGTGTCCTAGGTGCACCAATGCAAATGCAATGCAAAGAGACACATAAGTGTATTCAGAACAAGATATCATGAGTTTGAGTCAAGTTCTCTAACTCCCCAACAGAGTCGCCAGAAACTGTAGACGTCCCTGAACGTCCCGGGAGGGAGATCCCGTCCTGTTTTGTTCATTGGGCTCACTACAGTTCAGGACTCAAAGTCACGGTCCTGTATCTAATCTCGCAGAGTGCAATGCAAGACTGATGAATCATCAAAGAGTCCAAATCCGGCAAATCGTTTTTGAAAACAGATTTTTTTGAAAGAAGTGCCAAACATGGACTACTTTGCCAGATACAGAGTCGCCACCTAAATATTTTATTTTGGGAAATTTAGGAAACCCTGACTCGTTGCCTAAGGCCACGTGTCCGTCATCACCAAAGTTGCCTCGGCTCGGGAACTTGGGTACGATTGGGGAAGGTCACTTCGTGAGCACCCCCGCTCGCCCGATCAAAGATCGGCCTCTACAAACCATGATATCTAGTTTTGAAAACATTATACGTTCTTATTCCGGTTATTAGCCTAGATTTACTATGTGATGCGCACAGCATAAAAATATAGACCGGATCGCCTGATTTGGAACAAAACATCTCATGTTTGTTTTTTAAAGCGGTTTGCTACTCGTAAGTAGGCTTAAAATGCAGATTTTGCCACCCTCGGGTGGGCGTAGAAAACATGGTTTTGCCACTATCTAGTGGGCTTAAAACTCATAGTTAATGCATTATTCCAACTTAGATAATCCAACCTTCACCCACAGGCATTCAGGCAGGTATGTCACATAAGCAAATAGTCTCATGGTAAGCATGCTATCATGGCAGTCACTCACACGCATGCAAGGATGCCAAAGCATAAAACTTAACGAGTACTCCAAGCCAAAACAAAATTTATGTTAGAAATCCATGAATGATCCTAACTATACAGAAACGCCTAATGCAACACATGAAAATGCAACTATGGGCTCGGTTATTCTACAATGGCATGTGAAATGCTACAACTAACAAGTATTCAACTCGGAATTGTAATACAATGCAGTTAGTATGATGCGCCGAGCCTGGTGCATGCAAGACAGATGAATGATGCAAACTTGCGAGCATAAGTATGCTAATTGAAAAATGACCTAAAACTAACCAACGAAAGCAAGTAAGTAAAAGGGAGAAAGACATGGGGTTGGAAGACATGCATCACACGCACACACACTTATTACAATTGTGCCCTCGCTCGGAGGGTCCGAATAAATACTACAAGCCACCTAATTAACTAACTCATAAGCTAATTAATTATTACAGAACCAAATTGAATAACTAGCTACAACTAATTATTACACAACTTAATTAATTAACGAATCAATTAACTAATAAATGAAAGACAACAAACAAATAAGGGAAAGCAGTAAACGGTGCTATTCCAGCTCTGTTTGAAGAAGGGAGGCATGCATGCTCGCCTCGGTTCCTTGCTTTGGAAGGCCTTCTGGTTGCTCTTTAGAGGCTCTATTTGCAGGGTGTCTTCCAGTGCTTCTTGCTGGACCTTACCAAAACACTGCAGGGGAAGTCACCAGTGGCCTGCCGGCCAGGAAAGGAGATCTGCCAGCCAAAGATGGTCCATTGCCGGCCATCAATGGCAGGCTGCCGGCCACTGGTGTGCTGTGACACCAAACTGCAACGAAGCACAAAATAGAGGAATGAGAGGGTTTCCCAAGGACATGTACGCATCATGGCACTCCAAATCACCTCAAAACATCAAGGGAAAGGCCTAGTCGGATCCACGACCATCAATCACGCATCCCGATGCATGATGGCCAAGGATCCAACTTGTGCAAATCAATATGAAAAAGAATGCACAAATAAAACAAGTAAAGCCTAGAACTTTATCATGAATCATCAAGAGCTTCAGCGACCGAGAATTGAGACACGTTCTATCACTTGAAGTATGTAACGCCCCTCGTTCCACGTGCTCGGATTAATACTTAATCCAAGCAATGCAATGCATGTATGCTTTATGTAGCTCAAATATGCAATATGAGGCTCAAATATGCAAGGCATGCCAAATGCTATGCAACTAAGCATGCGAGTGTGCAAACTAAGCTAACGTAACGCAAACACACTTAGTATGCAACAAGGATACACAATGCAACTAGCTAAATGATGTGCAAACGTGCAAACGTGATATGATGCAAGCATTCGACCAATGTAATGCAACATGTCAAATATGCATTGGTGGGCTTAAACCATAAAAGGGCAGACCTCAGCCCATCCCAAAACAGTGGCCAAAGTGCAAGGAAGCAAGGCCAAAACAAGCTGATTAAGCATGTTCATGCAAGAGGCCAATGAAGCACATAAACTAGAGCTATATGATACCATGCTTGCAGGTCTCAAACACCTCAAAACATTCACCCTACATGCCATATTGACGCTGAAAATGCCATGATCATACACCAAAACAAGCTCAAATGATATGCCCAAACAATGGACTCTTGAAGCACATGAACTACAACTATGTAATGCAATGCATGATAGTTTTATCCAGCCCAAAACAGAGTTTCTACATGTTAATTTAGGGCCTAAAACATGCTGGAAAATAGTGAAAACAAACTAGAAAAGCATGCTCTCCTTTAGGCCATTCTAAGCATTTAAACCACAACCATGCAAAGCAATGCACAAGCTACCTTAACACCTCAAAATAGAGCTTAATCACAGCAAAATACGGACTATTGCAGGCCAAAGTTAAGCTAGCACATGTTAGGAAGATAGGCTAAAAAATGAAACAAGCTATGGCTAGGGAGCAAAATTACACTACAAGTGTATTATGCAAGCATGGAGTGACAAAACCAACTCAAAATAGATTCATGGCATGGTAAAACATCACCAAAAACCTACTGAAATGGACTCAACACAAGCTAAGCACACATGCTACTATGATGAGCTATGAATGGAGTTGCACTACACATGCTAGAAGCAAGTAGAATATGACCAAACCAGCCACGGACAGGGCCAAGGCAGGTCCTAAAAGTCACAAGAATAGGCCTGGACTAAGCCTCAAAAATGCATAGAGGGATGGTCCTTTGGAAGGCCAAAAATACAAGCAAAG